TGCTGACTGTTGAAGGCTATGTAGACAATGACAGTTCAGCTATTTGCTTATTACACAGTGCAGTCATTGCCTCTTCTGGTTTGTCTTACTTAAATTAGGAAATAATTTTAACGTATTCAGTTAGGTAATTCAAATTGTGTCACTCTAGCATGCACTGGTGTTAAAAAAAAATCTGAGATTGTGTGTGTAATAGGGATTTTTGAGAGTCACAGAAGTGGAGCCTAATCTGTCAGGCAAGCGGAGCTGCTGTTCTGAAGTTGCAAACTCAAATTCTTCGACTAGAAAATATGAAATGTTTCAGCCATTTCTGTAAATTCAGTTTGATCCCTTCGACTGTGTACATTTTCCTGTGATCTTTAATTACAAGGTAATACAATGCAGGTTAGTATACCTTTGTGACTGAGTCTCCTAAGTCTTTAGAAAGCCTTTTGGCTACAGGTGCTATGTAGCTACTGCTCCTCCTAAACAGATCAGTTTTACTTAACCTGCACTGGAGACTGCTTTGAGAAGAGAACAGAGATATATTTTAGTGGCAGGTCCTTCCCTTTGCGAGAAGGAGTAACGCTGAAGGTTTTGGAGCCTTTGAAAAATGGGAGAGATGGGCAGTACCAGTCATTACTCTTTCCAGTGCCAGCCTTACTTCTTGAGTCAATTAAAAACAAAGAACTTGAATTACTGCAAGTATAGGAATGTAATTTAACTGTTCTCCCCCACATGTACCCCAAGAAATCAGCTCACTCTGATAAAACTTAACCTGATTGTATGTTTCTGGTTTAAGATAAAGTGAGTAGCCATGTGGTAGATGCTATTTCAAGTAAAGCAGATTTTAAACTTTTAAAATTTTTTTTTCAAATGTAGTTAAGCAGATATCTTTGTTCATGTAGTGAGACCCTCAATAGGAAACTTGTAGCTACTGAAGCTGCAGCAATGATGGGCACCTTCTCCCGCTCGTCCCCCAAAGCCCTCCTGCTAACCTCTGCAGAGGGTGAGCTGCAGTACTACATGGGAACCAGGATCTGAAAAATACCCACGTATGCTGCAAATATTCTTTTAAGAAGAACTTCCTGCAGCGTCTCTTGTGCTTGCTGTGCTTTCAGGGTGGACTGTTAGCTCCTCCAAAGCAAGATTTGAATATCTCTCGCTAGGGACCTGCCGGATAAGTCTATCGTTTTCTCACCCTGTTCCCTGTATAAAAATCCCAGTTTGCTACAGTTCCCTGTATAAAAATCCCAGTCTGGGTGTAGTGATATTCCTGGGGAATAGCAGCATCAGGAGATTAGTCATAAGTATCACTAACTGCGTATTCAAAAAGACATCTAAGACCTGATTTTCTTTTTTTTTTTAGAGCGCTTACCATCATACTGCCTATAACCGACTCAGTTATGGCGTTGACTTGAATTGCTGTTGTCTGTATTTAGCAGTTCTGTTACGGGCCTCGGTTCTTAAGTTATCTGCTGAAATATGAAAAGAACAGTATCGAGTTAATTCTCTGAAAAGTTTTGGTTTGAGTGTTCTGCCTGGCATCTCGTAGGAGCTCAGGTGTGCTGGGGGAGGCAGAAGTAATGGCTCTGCAGAAGTGCTGGCGGTGTTACTGAGGCTGTTTCTTCTTTGTCCCCTTCTGGAAGGAACAAGGCAGATTCTTCCGTGAGCCTGTCCGTGACTGACTACCTCCTGGAGATGGTCCATGTTGCACGCTTTTGAAGTGTAGATCTAGGGAGAGGAGTGGTGCATGCTTGTGCATTCAAAGGTTGCTTTGTTACGTACAGAGAAAAGGGACTGTCCTGAATTTGCCAGTACTAATTCTGGCGTCTCAGTCGAGTAGTATTATGTTAACACGTTCACCAGTCATCAGCAAGGCCCAATTTCCACATTTAATTTGGCCTTTGTCACTTGAGGTAATAGAAAAACTGATGGCAATGCAGACAAATGTGGTTGTATACAAAGTGAGGCAGATGGGCTCACTGCGGTGGTGGATTTTGTCAATCTTTTCTTAGGGGGGGGCTGTGAGTGCAGATCTAGACTTTGTAGGAGCAGTGATAGGTACGTGCCACTCTGCTCTGACTTCCTGGTGTCACGAACAATCTCTTGTAATCCTCTCTCTTTCCCCAGCTCCAGCCTTTCTTAAACTCTCATTATCTAATCCATTTCAAAAATATGTCTTAACTTACTTGGTCTTCAACTCCCCTCCTCCCTTTCCCCCCTGCACAATTTGCTCTTGCTCTGAATTTCTGTCTCCTCCTCACAGATTCTTTGTTCCTATCCAATCTCTCTTGTTGGCACTTTGTCCTAGTCTCAGTCTAAGAACCTTAACTCCTTCCTTGTCTCTGTATCTGACTGATGCTCACCTTCCTCGGTTTGGGTCCGTGTACCTCCTGGGTTCCCACTTGTAGCCCTCGGGATTCCTGATTTCCTTTGCCAAACCCTCTGGTAGCCTTCAACAGCTCAAACGTAGCTTTTCCTCCTTTAGGGCATTTCACCAGACTCCTTTCCATAGTTTCTTTGCTTTTGTGTGGGTTTGGTGTTTTTTTTTTTTTTTCTCCAAAAGAAGGATTTTATTCCTTTTACCTTCAAAGGGGAGACCTTCTCCCTGTTTTGTGGAGGCCCAGAAGACTCCCTGGCAGGAGGCTCCATGCTCGGCTCTGGTGCAGGGCTGCTCTTAGAGGAAGAATTGCTTTGCCTGTGAGCTGGGGCATGGGCTATGTGTGGGTGCTGCATGTATCCTCTCCAAGGGAATTTTACTCATTAAATTCTAGGAAGTTTTGGGGCATATGTGAATTGCAAGTGTTGGGGGTTTTTTCCTTCCCCCAAGGTATAGAATTCAACCCTATCTAAATGGATTTTGACAAAGAAGACAAAAGACTACATTTTTCATCCTCAGTCATATTGAAATGAATTTCCCTCTTCTGCTGGATAATGCTAGAGCTTTGTAAAGGGGGGAAAAAAAAGTGAGAATTTTTTAACTTGGCCAAATCGTATCTCTTCAGAATCGGATGAGCCATTTGAACTGAAATGTTCAATAAACGCTGAGCAGAAAGCAGCATCCAAACTAGAGTCGGGTAAGGTTGTACGTAGCTGTTGGAACGGTCTCCTAGAAGGAGATACTGGGAAACCCTCAGACAGCGCCGTCAGTTTTACCTTGTCCCTGATTGCTGCCAGCGTGTTCTCTTGTGCTGTGAAATTAATCACGGTGTGGCAAATATACCGAGACACAATTTCTGTCCAAGCCTTACATTTCAGGTGGGATGGGCATGCCTGCAAGAAGTGATACGGAAACTTGTCCAGGCATAAGGGTGCTTGATAGTGAACTTGATACTTCATGAAATAGAGAAAGGAGAGATGAAAAGAAGGTGGAATGGGAAATGAAAACTGTTAGAAGGCAATAAAAACTTAAGGTGCAGCCATTCTCCTTGCTAATAGTCCTGCTTTGGTTTTGAGCAAGTTTCAGATGTCTCTTGGTCAATTGTGGGGTCACTGCAGACTTTCTGTGTCGTACGCACAATTAGAGTCTAAAAAGCATTTGCATACTTGGTGAACCCTCTGCCCTGTTGCTTGTTCAGAGACATTTCTTCATAAATAACAAATCTGTGACTTCATACCAGTGTCAAACTTGCATAAATGTGTCTGATAGAATTTCCTATTAAAATAATAGACCAGTATTGGCACCTTTCAAGTCTGCTCTGTGGAACACAATAATTATGTAGATGCTCTTGCAGTAACTGGAGTAGTAGTCTCTGGACCTTTCTTTGCAATGTGTTTACAATTATACCATACCATGATTGTCTTTTGATTGAACTCATTTATAATGGAAATAACCTGCTGGAACAAGTCTTCTTCTGGGACTTGATATATCTGAAGTAGCCGCTGTAATCTGATGGCAACCCAAGTTGTTCTGCAACTGTTGCAGTGACACCAGGCAGCAGGCTAGAATGCAGCGTATCTTCTGGAATTAGTGTGATTCTTTGCTTTTTAGCTATGGAGTCTTATTGATCACTGACCTTCAAGTTGTTTTTGTCTCCTCCAGGGAGAGACACCGGGGAGGGATTGCTCCTGGATTTCAGGTGGTACATCTGAATTCAGTGACAGTGGACAACCGCCTAGACAATCTGCGCCTAGTTCCTTGGGGGTGGAAACCCAAAGCTGAAGAAATCTCTAGTAAACAAAGGTACATCAATATTTGGCAGGGGATTGCCATCAGAAAAACTGAAAATATCTTAAATTGTTGTGTCCTTCCCTTAGTGATTGGTCATCTTGGCAGAGCCTTTTTTTTATTTGACCTTGGGCTAATTACGCATTACTATACATCTTAGCTTCCTCACCTCAGGAACTGAGTTAACGCTCACCGTTCATGCTAGCTGTGAAGGGACCATTTAACCCCATGGTATTATTATGTGGAGATCCTGCTGTGCCAAATGTCATCACTGCAGTGAAACAGAAAGCCTGCTTTCTCTTCCACTTAAGTGATGACATCTGGACACGCTGAATTAAGTCTGCTGATTTTACTGGCTTGTGGCCCTCGTCCTGAGGCATCGAAATTCCAACACAACCTGTAGAAGTCAGCAAGATGGATTTGCTTAATCTATGATGTGACACAGGCATGTTCATTTTTAGTGGGAGACCCACAGACCGAACAACACACTAGACACTTCTCTTGAAACACTTGCAGCACCCACAAGATAGGGATGTTCAGATCTTATTAAGCTGATTTTTGAGAAGATGATGTGAATGACAATGATGCTACAGTGATGCTCCCAATGGTTCTGGGAGTTCAAGAACAAGAAACAGACTTCAAGCCATTCACATAGAAATAATTTTACTTGGTGTAAATGTTGCTTGATAGGTATTTTTAAACTTTTTTTGCATTTAGGCTAAAATAACCCTAAAAATATCCAATATATGAGGACTATGTGTGGTCTGAGGCTTAAATACAATGTTAACCCTACTTAATTGATTAATTAATTTGGAATCAATTTCTCTGTATGCTTATTATGAATTTATGGACCAAATTTGTACTTGTTTTTCACAGGGAACAAAGTCTGTATTGGCTGGCAATCCAACAGCTTCCTACAGATCCTATAGAAGAGCAGTTTCCTGTACTGAATGTAACACGATATTACAATGCTAACGGGGATGTTGTGGAGGAGGAAGAGAACTCATGCACATACTATGAATGTCACTACCCCCCATGCACAATGATTGAAAAACAGGTGTGTTCGAAAGAGTTGAAAGTAAACATGTAATGACTCGGGCTACCATGTGTGTCTGGGGATTTGTTCCTTAAGATGTAAAGCTTTACACGTGCCATTCGGTTGCTAAAAGCGATAATTCTTTTTAACTTGGGTTTTCTTTGGTATGAATCTTCAGACCCTATGGTAATTTTTTGTTTGAGAAAATGTAGTTTTGAATTGGAACAGTAAATGACCTAGTGGTTTACTGGGAGGAGTGTGATTTCTGCAGAGTGTACGAAAAGACAGGTGGAAGCATTCCTCTAGGGACCCGGAGGTGGAATGAGCAAGCAGCTGTATAAGACGGGAGAAAGCATTGTAAGAGGTTTTGAGCGGCAGTGGAATCAAAAAAATAACATGCTTAAGCTTTCATGAGAAGAGGGTGAATTTGAGTGGCCTTTATTCAGGGGAGAACTGTGAGGAAAGGTAGTTCTAATTCTTCGCTGTAGGTAGATGAAACAAAGCAACGTACATAAGCAGAGAATAGCAGAGAATGAGATGTCCAAGGGCTGTGCCTCTTTGTCAGGCAGACGTCCTTAGCTATGAATAACAAGGGCTTTTCTTATGATAAAAAATGCTGAGTAGGCTAAAATCATTGTGATCCACTATTTTCTATGGGGAAGGGAAAGTTTGCAAGAATGATCTTAAATGCCCTTTATTTGAAAGAGAATGAGCTTTACCTTTTATTTGGGTCTGCATACAAAAGCTTCGTGAATAACTGTAAGTTTGGCAATGGCTGAGCTTGTGCAGCCCTCCTCATCATTTCTGCATTTAAGATGTTTGTAGTTGAACAAATGTTTGCAAATTAAAGCAGAACTTACGTTGACAAAACAGTAGCATTGTGAGAACAAATGTGAAGTGCTCAAAGATTTTGTCTGTTAAGCCCATTCTGCAAGAGCAGTTGCAAAATCAAACAAATGCAATCACTTCAAAACCTTTTGATATTCTGATGCTCATGGTGAGATGCTCATATTTGTGATAGATGCAAAAGAACTGATCATAAACCTGTTTGGGAAATGATGTAGGGGTGCTCCTTGGCACTGAGCAGTCTCACTAACGCTGTCTTGTGTTCTTCCTAGTTACGTGAATTCAACATTTGTGGCCGATGCCAGGTAGCGAGGTACTGTGGGTCACAATGCCAGCAAAAAGACTGGCCTGCTCACAAGAAACACTGTCGGGAGAAGAAACGGACCTTCCAGCAAGAGCTCGGACCGGAACGATGACCGGGTGGCACAGGCCTCTTAGCAGCAGGATTCCTTCTCAAAGGCATTGGACTCTTGCTTTTGCACAGTAATGACAGACTGCTTATTGAAGCCAGAGGCACTGAAGAAGAAAAACCCTGTGATGCTTGAGCAGAACAGCTGACTGGACTAAGCCAGCTCTGACTGGTGCTGTGGAAAGGGATTGGGTCTACCCTTCCAGTATTATATTCTCAAGCAAAAAGACTACTGTGGAGGCTCCAGGCAGGAAGCTTCTCGTTATTTATATGTTAATACATTTGTAAACTCATGTACAGTTTTTGTTAGAAATTCTTGATAGGACTCATTAACTGTAATGTTCAGATGAGAACATGTTGTTGGCCTAAAAGTTTAAAACAAACAAAAAAAAAGGTCATGTAGCAAAAGCTTTTCCTCCCATGTGGCTAGAAGTATCTGTGGCAGTGCCAAGGCCAGAAGGCAGGCTCCGACATCAGCAGTTACTCTGGGGAACTCTGCATGGAAGTTATATTTAAAAAAAAAAAAAGAGGGGGGGCAAACAAAGTAAAGGTTGGAATGAATCATTGTCTGCTCTCTAGCTTTCTCCCGTTCCCTTCCAGCTGCTTTCAGAGCACAGTCAGGCTTGGACGTTGGAAATACCTACGGAGTAGGAACCAGTGCACCAGAAACTGGAGTGGAGTATAGGGAACCATCTGGGATCTGTGCATACAGGCAAGCTCTAGCGTGTTGCTGCCTTCAGAGAAGGGCTGCTGGAGACCATGCTGTCAGCAACCAGTATTTTTGGAAAGCTGAATTAGCTTTCTTGTTATGAAACCTTTGTATATAAAGTAGTTGTAGGGAAGCTCAGGTAGTCAGCTGTGTGTGGATGTGGTTGCCCTCGTGGCTTCCCTGTAAGCATAGCAAATACTATAGTGATGTGCAGATACGTTTAAATGATCTAATATTTGGTAATTTGAATTATTTATTCATTTTTTAAAGAGATGCCGTCAATCCAAGAATCCATTTTTGATTTTTTTGATGTAGTAATGAGTAAAAATATGGGAGGAGGATTTGACTTGCAGAGTACATGCCTGTTTTTCTCTTCAGACTTTGTCATGCATAATCTGAAAGTTTTTTTTTTTCTTTTTCATTTTTGCCTTAGAAATATAAGGAATATGAGCTGAGTTTCCTGAAGAACTAAATGGATAATTTAGTGCCAGGTGTTAGTCTTGCTTCTCAGTAGAAGAATGTGAGCTGCTGAATGCTTAATGCAGAGCCTTTCTCGGAGTGCTTAGTGAAATAGGTATTTAAATTTTTTTTTTGTAAAAGCCGTTAAGAATTTTAATTTTTCAATCAGGGTTCACTTTGCCACTTCATGTTGCAATGTTGGTCTTGCTTGTATTCAATTTGTTAGAAAATTGAACTGCTGTGGACTTCCAATATTATATTATGTTTCTAATATCTGCACAGGAAGTTCTTAATTATTAGTATTTGGGTGGGTTTTCATACTTTGGCTTTAAGCATATCTTAGGAAATAACAAAGAACTTCTGAAGCTTCCTGCTGGAAGTTCCCTTGGTAGGCACATTGTCAAGCTGCAACTCTTAAATCATGGTTATACTGTAACTTTTCTGTTTAGGCAGCCTAAAACGCCCTTAAGTATGAAGAAGTCAAGCAGGACCTAATCAAATTTTCCTGTAATGGGTGATAGTTTGTTTTTTAAGGAAACATTCAATTATTTGCTTTAAATGAACTGCACAGGTTTTGATGAATATAAAATGGGATATAAGGAATAACTTTTTTTTTATTCAAGGTAATCCATCGAAAAGGGCAGAAGTATTGACTCTTTTTTCTTATCTTTTTAAAAGGCTGATATTTATCATGCCAGTTTTCCATTGTATTACCAGTAATCACGTTTAGCAAACTGAAGTGCAGTCTTAGAGCGTTTAAACACTTCTGCAGCACTGAGCAGGGCAAATGTCCTAATGTTTGTAATGTTGCTGCAATGAGAAATGAGAACAATAGACTGCAGAGGAAGTCCTGATGGGGCAACAGGTAGATTCCTCTTGAGCAACAGATGAAGGGAATGAGGGAAGGGTGAGACTCGAGCTAAAAAGTCTGCAAAACTAGGGTGGTGGGTGCTTAGGGCAGTCCTGATCCCAGTGAATGGGGGAGGGAAGGGGACAGGAGGAAGGGGCGAAGCAGGTGGGGAGGGAAGACTCCCACTAGGTTAGAGGTCTGTTAGACCATCAACCGAATGATGCCCAGACATCCTGAAAGGGCTTGGTGAAATAACACAGGTTCTGAGTTCAGTGGGTAACCTTTGACTCCGGACTGTCCTCGGGCCACGGGAGGGAAGTGCCGACAGGGATTTTGACTCTTAGAAAGGTCCCGAGGACTGCAGTAAGTGTGTCACTTCCTGCAGAACGTTTTTTCCTGATGGATGTGAGAAGTTCTGAGATCAGTGATTCTGGCAGAAGATCTTTAACTTAAAGAGATCTTCTCTGTTTGTAAGGTGTGTCAGAAAGGAACCAGCTATACTTGAACATGGCAGCTCTGCTTCATATAGCCTATATGGTTTTTCAGAGAATGAAGCTCTCATAAAGGACCTCCTTTCCTGTCTTAAAGAAACCCAACTGACATGGATATCCTCATATGGGCAAGTATTTAAGAAGCACAGGGTTAGACTACATGGCCATTTATCTTGGAGCAGGCCTGTGCAGTGCTGGTAAATGAGCTGACTTTTCAAGGACTTACTCTGATGGAGATACTTTCCATCTAAGATGTTTCCTGCAAGGAAAAAAAACCCTGCATCTGTATCTTTTATTTTTGGTTCTCAGAAGTATGGGATACTCTTTGTACACACCCCTATTTCACTTGTGGACCAAAACAGGCTTCCTAGATAGGAACATCTGTTTAAAAGAGGAGCTCCAGAGGACTTGTTGGGGGAAATGTGGTCTCACTTGCTGGGCTATGAGCGGGATGGGCGGGGGGAGAATGAGAGAGAGAGAGAATGAGAGCAGTGGGGTTAGGATCAGGGAATTCTGCACCTCCACAGCCTGTTGTACCACTGTCTATCTCTAAGCTGTGTTGCCTGGCAAGCTCCTAGAGGATCTGCTGATTCGTGTGCTTTTGGGAGACAGAATTTGGCTGTTCAGGCCTGTGCAGTCCTGATGGCTTGGCTTGGCTTTGCCACCAGCTGTGCTGTGTATCCTTGTGAACACATGTAGCATCTTGTGCAGCTGATGGGGAGGTCTGAGCCTGGGTCATGATGGTTGATCTTGAGTCACCAGGAGTGGGTGAACATGTGTCTGGTGTAAGGCACTTCCAAGAGGACCCTATGGGCTTCCAGGCCCTTTGGGAGAGTCTGGAGAAAGATTTCTCTCACAGTTGCAAAGTGACAAATCCAGCTCATGTTAGGAACCTGCGGTGTTGCTGATGCTGGCTGTAACAGAGAGGTGAACACACCATGACATGTTGATACTTCTCCCCCCCCAGGTACTCCTTCATATCAAAGTAGGGTGGTATTACCAATCCCAAACATTCAAAAGTCACAATTCAAACTGATAAAAACCATGGCTAGCTTAAGGAACACAAGATCTGAAATAGAATGTATTGCAGGGCTCAGTGTTTACCTTTTGATATTTGAGCCTTTAATACACCCATAGGATGAAAACTTTCAAGTTTTCCTCTGTGGTGGTGATTTTTAATTTTAAATGAAACTGCTGAAGGTAAAAGGGGCAGCTAAAAGACTTAAATACTTGCAGGTGGTGTGGAGACAGTGTAAGACACCACAGTGGGGCCAGGAGCCAATGTTTGCCACTCATCAAAAGAGAACTGAGAGAGGACGAAAGGAGGTTGGTGTGATTAAACAGCAGTGAGTGGAATGCTCATAGAGTGAGAAGAAATTCTTTAAAAACTCAACTTGTGTCCAAATGTAGAAGATAGACAGAATAAGATTTGGCAGGTGAAATGTGGGGGGAAAAGCAAGAAAACGAACAAACAAACTCCAAAATAATGCAAAGGAAAATGGACTATGGAGAACATTCGAGTCGTAAAACTTGCACAAATAATTTTGAAAAAATCGGGAGCAGGGAGACTGCCAGAGTCAGTAGACATGATGCACAGTAAAGGGAAGGTCTGACCTGAAGATAAAAGTCCCAGCAGAAAAAAAAACAAACAAGTGACTTGTTTGCATATGTGTTCACTGTGAAAGAGGTGGAGGAGTTCACACAGGAATACTTCCATATGGAGAACTCAACAGAGAATCTGTTTAGAACTGAAGTGCTTTTAGGAGAGATTAAAGTTCAGTTGAAATGAGCAGTAACAAGTTGCCTGGACCAGACGGCGCTGCCTACGGGCTCTAAGGGAGCTCAAGGATGAATAAACTGAGCTACGAGCTGGGATGGTAACCTCTCCCTCGGTACCCACAGCAAATGTGATGGCAGCTTCTGAAATGAGTTTCAGGGCAGATGTGGCAAGCTACAGCCAGGTGAACATAGCACTTGCACTTGGCAAATTCATAGACACTATGATGCAGCATCAGTGGCTAAATATTGGGGAGGAATCAACGCAGCTTTTGTACAGGGAAGTTGTGCTTCAGAACTCTATTGGAATTGTTTTAATGGCATCAACAAACAGAGGATAAAGGGGATTTGGTTCGTACAGTCTGCTTGAACTTCCGAAATGCACTTGATCATGACCTTGCTCAAGGCACTTAAGGAAAAAAAGCTGCTATGGGAAAAGCGGGAATGTTGTCATGTGGACAAACAACTGTTTAAAAGACAGGAAAGGAAGAGTTAAATGGAGGGGTTTTTGGTGGAGGGAAGTCAACAGCTGGATGCCTAATATATTAAAAAAAATTTGGGAAAAAGTAATGACTTGGGAAGGTGACATCCACTGATGAGGTTATTCAGTGTAATAATAATACAATAAAGGCTGAGTAAAGAATTGCAGAAGGATCTTATGAGGCAGACTGGTAGATGAAATTCAGTGTCGATAAATGTAGTGTTACTTATGGGAAAACATCAAAAGACGAGCCATTAGCTGACTGTTTTCACTCAGCAATGAGACCTTTGGGTTGTGAAACAGTCCTGCAGAAATTTTTGCTTGGGGAACAGCAGCAAACCAGGCTCAAGGAAAGGACGGGAGAGCAGAGACCAGCACCGCGCCATAAACTGGCTGTGCACCGCATCCTGAGTGTGCAGTTCTCACCCTCTGTCTTGGAAAGGACTGCGAGGAAGGGCTCAGGGCTGAGGGCAGGACCCCTCCGTGGTCCGGAACAACACGGCTACGTTAACCACATCTCTACTCTGGAAGACAGATGAGTGACAGGGACATGAGGAAGGTCTTTAAGAGTGGCAGAGGGAGGATGCCAAGGGAATACTGATGCCGATTTTCTCTCTAGTAGGCAGCTGCTGGTTAAAACTGAGCAGCGGTCCTTAACCTACACGCGTTTGAGCTGCAGAGCCCTTTCCTCACCATGTGGTGAGCGCCAGACGACTCTTTGGAAGGAGCTTGGACAAGTTAACGGAAAAACCCTCATCCGAGGGCGGTGAAGGACGTCCCCGA